ACAGCATTTTTATTTTCTATATGTAATACATACCCGCCATCTTTTGTTAGCTTGTCAGTTTTGAGCTCGTGCAAAATTAGTTTTCTCCATTATATTCAGTATATCCCAATAAGGGCGACAGATGGCACCACATATTTGTACTTTATTAAAGGTTAATCATGTTACAGTGATTTCATAAGGAACAGTGACGACAATAGTGTCGAAGTATGTTGATTGGTGCTGCCATTTAACGGAGAATGTCAGGATATGCGAATATTTAAGGGTGTGCTCCCAATGTTTTCTAAACAGATAAGGTTACCTGATTTCAAGTTTTGCTGGTAGCGTAACCACAGAATAGAGGCGTAGCTTATAAAAATAATTTGAAAATGTTGAAATACGGTCCTATATATTTGATAGGCATTCCTATCAGCTGGTGATTGGCCAGNCGTGAATTTCAGTGTGGAAAAGTTAGTAAAAAATTTAAAGACACTAGATTTTACATAGTGAAAAAACTTGTAACAAACGTAACAAACTTAAAGTTACTTCCTTTTCCTCACCCCGTCCTTCGTGTGTCTGGACAAGCTCCATCCCCTCCCTGTTGCGAATCTGGCAATGCTAGTTGCACAGCCATGGTTGAAATAGTACAGATCGAATCTGACAGTTTGACCCTTGTTTACTATTTACATATACAGGGTGTAACGTAAAGGTTGGGAATAAATTAAACGGTTGATTTTTTATTTAAAAAATAAATATTTGTCATATAAAGTTATTATTATATGCTCTACGGGTTTTCTTTTCCAAGCTATAGGGCGCTAAAAAATTAAAAAAAAAATAGTTTTTTAATATCATTTTCAACGCAAAACTCTTTTTTCAATACCTATTTGACCATGTTCGGTGGCTGAGTCAAAGCATACTTCATAATGTTTCTGTTATTTTTATTTTCCTACGTTAGCACTGTTAGCAGTGGAAAGAAATGGCATTTACAAAAGTTTTATTTACGGAAAAATTACAAAAGTCAGAAATAAAACGCACGAGGATAATTTTGTTTAAAATATTAAAAAGATGTTTTTACCAGTGGCGTACCACAATTTTCTTCGAAAAACCTTACGGTACAATCCGTACGCAAGTCACTGAGTAACTTACAAAGTCAATCTTTTTCCTGTTACTAGGGGATTATCAAATTAAGCTAAAGCGAAAATTCCATTCCATAACTTATAATGTTCGAAAGTTATTGGAGAAAAACTAAATTTTTTGAAACTTATTAGCGCCCTGTAGCTTGGAAAAGGAAACCCGTAGAGCAAATGAACAATTTCAAATTAACATATTTTTACAAGGATTTAGAAGTATTTAAGAACAGCCAACACGTGTTTCGTAAAATATATACACTAATGTGCTTAAAACTTACAAAGAAATGATATAAAAGAATATTCTTAAATTTAAATAAAGTAAAAATTTAACTAAAAAGGTCTATTAATGATAGTTTGTTTTATAAACTATGGTTCAAAAGTGTTTCGTTGTGAATATACGGGGTGTTAAAATTTTAGGAAAAAGAAGGAAATTTATATTTTCGAAAACCCTTGAAATATTTCCGTGATAGCACGTAGTGATAGTTATATATTAAAGTGGCATGTTTTTCAATATAAACATAATTTTTAGCTCTAACAGTGTCGTGCCTACGAGCATTGATTTTGATATTTTTAAAGAATAAAATGGTACGCCAATAGTTTTTCCCATATAAAATTATTTTTGAAATTCCTGTTCAATTCGAATGATAAGAACTCTTGAGTTTTTGTCCTGCGATGCGCCGTTTTTGAGTAAAAAAATAAAACCCATTGTATTATCCGTAATTAATTAATGTAGGTAATAATTGAAAATACAATTTTGCGAAAAAACCTAGTTGGTCTGGAATGTGTCACTTGCATTTCTTATATTAATTATTACAGCATGTAATAGAATAAAAAATACTCGGGAATATTTCAACGAGTGCACAATTCCATGAAAGTTTTTAACAATTCTTGTAATTGTAATTATTGTATGTTAATGTTATACGTTGTTAATAATTGTTGTTGTTCATTACATGTAGGTGCCAACTTGTAATGTATTTAATTTTTCTATTAAATTATTAATAATTCTGAGATTTTTTTTACTCAAAAACTGCGTATCGCAGGACAAAAACTCAAAAGAGCTCTTATCTTTCGAATTGATCGGGGATTTCAACAAAGATATTATTTGGGAAAAAAACCATTGGATTAGTCTAGTCTAGGCCTAATTCATTTAGGTCTGGGAGATACCGCATACCTCCGGATATCTAGAGGATACATTGATTTGTATCATAGTAGTAAGTAGTTCTTGGACAGGTGCATGTAAAGGTGTCCAAAATATTGTAATTTAACCAAACTTACCTTCGTATATACGAAGTTGCACCCCTCAGGAGTTATTAGCCCCCAAAGTAGGGTCCTAAATTTCGAAAAAAATTAATATCTGCAACACTTTACCGCAGAAGAACCAAATTTGGTACAACATGATTTAGGTTTATTACTGGTCTTCTGTGACTATGATTTAAAGTTAATTGAAGCACTACAACGTGTTCATTGGGGATGACTCACCCCTAAAATTGTACCGAACTTTTGTTTCATTGTCCGAATTGAAAAATAGGTAATAATATTAATTCACAGCAGAATTTAATTTTAAATTTTTTTTACTCTTGCTAAATTTAAAAAAAACTTTATGGTTTTTAAGAAAAACCATATTAACTGAAACAAGAAACTATTCAAGTTTCGTCAAAATGTTAAGAAAAAAATTAGTTTGACATATAGAGGACCTGCAAGGTCAAAAGGAAACATTTTCTAACCCTACATTTGAACGTAAAATCGACGCTCTATTGATTGTTGGTGTAGAAGGGGTATTTCATTAAATAACTTCAATTTGACCTTTGTTTGACCTTGTAATTTAGGGTCAAAGTCAAATCCAAGGTCACCAACGTATTGCTTTCTTGACATGCTATAACATTTATGTGAAACCTTTTTTTAATAGGAATCTATCCTTAAATGTTAAGAAGGGGGAGTCCGGTCCTTTTGAGTCACCCTGTATATGTCAAGAGGTGATTTAAAGGTGCACCCTTACGTCGTGCGTCATTTATCACGCTTGCCAACCGAACAGCTAATTTATCTACTCGCAAATAATAAATATAGAGTTGGGCACTAAATTTGCTCGGATTTTTGCGCTAAGTGGTATATGGCGATGTAAACATTTTTATCATATTTGCATTGGCATTAAAATGGAAGCCATCGGTGTTTGCTCGGATATTACACCGAATACAAGTAATTATTCTGTCAGCTACCAACCACATATCGCTGATAGAGATTGATTTTGCCTTCACGTTCTACGCGTTATTTTGGCAACTTTGAGTTGCTTTCGGTACAGAGTTCACCCTAGAATAAAATAAATCACTCTCAAGGTTTTCAAATTTCATTCTTCTTCTCAAGTTTTGATCTTCTTCTTAATTTATTGAAATAAACCCCTGTTTTAAAAAAATCAGTCAAGGAATTACTTTTATGAAAATAGTTTTGCTTTTGCTGCAAAAGTAAACAATAATATTCCGATATCTTGATTACACCCAAAGAGATCCGAGAGAAAATGACAGAAAATATTATTTTCTTTCTTCTGTGAACTGTAAAGCTGTATCTATGGTTGATTGTGCTCATCTTCCTGTATTCCAAATTTGGTAATGAATGTTCCATACGACGAAAATTAATTTTTAAGCCTCTACGGTCAGCCTTTATTAAAAATAATTACAAATATTTTGAATAATTGATCGATGAAATTGTCACCGCATGAATTCTTTTCACCCCTCACTGACTGACGTTAATTTGAAAATTCCCGGCACATTTTTTAATACAGTTAAGCCTGCCAAAAGTTACAAAGCACCAGCTTGCTGATTGAATCCCACAGCAATAATTAGAGGAGCATATTTCACATTTCCAGTTGCCGGGAAAGCCTCGTCTCATAAATTATGACTCCGATTAGCGTGATAGAGGCCAGGGAGACGCGCAGAAAAAATAAACGCGTCTAATTCCATCGCTCAGCAATTTTTTTAATTATCCTAATAAACTTTAATGAGCTCCAAAATTGATTGATGGCCGGGAAAAATATTTCTTGAACATACACACACGTAAACCGAGGCTGCTGTTTGTTTTGATGTTGTTGATGAACGAGTTATGGTGCAGGGGCATAAATTTCATTTCTTAATTCAGGATGTTCCCAATTACAGAACGGAATTGATAGTGACTTTTATTATTCGGTTTTAGTAGCAAGAATGAGTAAAATTTCACAATTCCTTTCATGTAATGGTCTTGCGATGTATACGCATTGACAATTTTTCACGTATTTTTCTGAAAACAATGTTTAGAAGTTTAGAAATTCAAGAAGTAAAGCAAAGCAATGTAAAATTAAACCCTTCATAAATAAATTCGTGAATTACTTAATTCACGAAGAACTTGAATTTAAAAACGTGAATTATTTATTAATCAAAATCATAGATATGTAGGCATTTTATTATGAATTCAAACTTGCCGCCCGTTGTTATGTTGGTAACGAGGTTGGCAGAAGTGTAAGTGTAAGTTAAGGAATTGGAAAGGAGGGGAAAAAGAGAAGAGAGGTTAGGTTTTATATATGTGGTTAATGTTAAAAACAAAAATACAACTTTGAAGTAAATAGTTTTTATTTTGTGAAAAATAACCATCTTGACCCGCCCCTACACATAAAAATCAATTACGGATTACTATTTATACAGATTTATTCGATTTTGCATCTAGAAGCCCCTTTCAATTAATTACAATATTCAAATACTTGGCGCTTTTCAAACAACAACCGATTCCCAAATCGCTTACATTTTATCAGGACGGCCGCGACAGTGCATTCCCCCCACAGCCGAAACAAAGGAGCGTCTAACACACGCCAGCCACCAGCATCCCGCCTCGCTCGGCGTTATCAGAGCAAGCGCCGCCGGTGCGTGGGCGCATTCCGTGTCGTTCCGCTACCACCTGTGGCCGTCGCGATCGCGCGTCCCAACGCCGCCAGCGACAGTAGTGTGCGTCGCGAGCCTCCTCATAGACACACAACGCGTGACAGCTCCAGGACAACGCGACAGCGATCTCTGCGGTGCCGACGACTCTAACACAACGGATTGTTATCAAAAGTGCGGGTTGTGCCAGTGCCGGGATGTAAGAGGACGGCAAGGAAGGCTGTTTGATTGGACGCGGACAAGAATAACCCTGCATGGTAAGTTTCTTGGACCTTTGAAATTAGCAATGCAAGTTTTCCGCTACTATAAAGTGTCATCACTGTTTTTTTAATCGAGTGAATCTTTAAAATGTTTCTTGCCAAGCGTAGCTACGATGAGATTCTTTGAAAAGTTGGAAAGAGCTTTAATCTCGATTTTACAATGCTCATATCTTAAACTGCATTGTCTAAAAATCATTTTTCGTTCTGATATTGACTATGAGAAAGTACGTAATCGGCTTGATTGATATTATAAAGATGTTTTACAATTAGAAATAAAATGACGTTTGGTACGTATTACTCATTGTTTGGATCATTGTTGTCTCAAACAAATCCCGCTCAGTTCAAAGCCGCCTTTCCGTTTATGATTAGGATTAAGATTGCTTGTTTTTACGAATTACTTTCGCTTTGAAACAATTATATGATCTGTTCTGTTTCGGAATCAGATGTAGTGTATTGTTTTCACAATATATTTGAACCCGGGCTTGATATTTGTTTATTTTATTTTTGTAACAGGCGTAGGTATTTGCTGAATTACGTGTAAATACAACTGAAATACTTGTTTTAACAGATACCTTTGCTAAATCCGCCACTATATTTGTTTTCTCAGTTTATAGTCATTGATGTCATTAAAATAATTATTTTTTGTAATTAAAAAAAAAAATTGAAACAAAAACGGAACATAATGACACATGGAAAAGCGTTTTTCGCGACACGTTGGTATGTTATATGTAATGGGTATAAATAATTAATTTTACGACTTGTCACATTATTTATAATCAGCATTTCTCAAACTGTAAGTCAGACGGAGCTTACAGTTCCTCGAATATTTGTACTTAAAAGCTCAGTTATGACCGTTTTCCGCTTATTTTTCAATTCATGACATTCAGTACTTTGTTGCTAATTAGAAACTTAACATAAGATGAAAGAAAATCATGTGTGCTAATCTTTTATTGATATTTATTTTCCTAACGATGCACAATGATGGAAAGCTGTCAAAATTTTAGAAAAATAATTTTTACGTCTACCGGACCCGTTTTCTATTTCTAGTACCATAAACTTTTCAGAAACATTTTTTATGCAACTGTTAAGCACAAATTCTTAAATTAGAAGACACACGTTTGAGAAGCACTATTTGAGTGTTTTTCTATGGTTTACTAATGAATGATCTTTAAAAACATGCATTTAATTTTGCAGTCACATAAAAACTACGTGGTTCTTGATCGATTCTACGTATATTGTAATTGTGGTGATGATATGACTTGACAGTTACTTAATAACTCAAATGTGCTTGCTGTGGTAAAAAATTGTTTACAAATCGAGATGACATGACAAATGTTCCAAACAACGTCTAACTTTAACAATTGCAGGACATATGTTGATGATTGTTATATAACCAAATCCAAAAATAACACTTTGACTTTGAAGTCTTATTTAAGTTGTGTGGATAAAAGGTAGGCAACCCACTTTCGGGGCATCCTGTATACACGCGATAAAACAATAGGATTTAGTTTTACGGTTCCACAAGTTTACGAGTTATTTTTTTCACCTTGCAGCAGCTATTTGTATATCTATTTAAATTCGTTCTGTTCGATTTATTTACACAATCGATTAGAATTGTAAATTTATCACTATTTAACCGCGGATATACATCACCATAGATAAGTTGTGTATACCAAATCGTTTTTTTATGGTCGCTGATATCCTAGGTTTGGAAATGTAATGGGTTTTTGATGGGACAATAAAGCCGACGAAAGGGCCTACTTCGTTAGTCTTTCTTGCGTAATTCGGTGGTTAAATTATTCTGAATTAACGTGTAGAGCTAAAAAAATAAAAGGAACAAGTTTAAATTGAATAAATAAAGTAACGCCAAAAAACTTAATAAGAAATAATAATAATAATATTCATCATTTTATTAATTCAGAATTGCTAGCTGAATTTCTATGGTATTTTGCAACTGAAATAGAACAATTAATAAAATGATGAATATTATTATTATTATTATTTCTTATTAATAAACTGCCTTTTACTCATCATTCAAATATATGTAATTGGCATGAAAAACTTTATTTAGTAATTTTGCCAAAACATTGTATTAATTAAATTTTTTCCTGCATAGTAAGCATATTAAAAATAACTGTCACTATTACTCAAAAGCCCTATAACTTTTTATTATGACGGTTATTGTCAAACTATTTTATTCTCCAGCAAAGATTTTAATCAAGAATGCCTTTTTCTCGTAAAATGAACAATAAAAATGTTTTACTGTTCGTTTCTATCAAAGTAGGCCAATCCATACACAAATTGATATTATAATATAAATTTCAATTCTAAGCAACTTTTCAATTTTCATAATAACATGTATTTCTTTATTGTTAAAAACAAAGGCAGTTTTTTCTTGAACGATTTTTTTATTTACCAATTTTCTGATCACCCTATACATGAAAGATGAAAGTTTTCCATGCGAACCGCATTTTCAAGACAAGCAAAAATTTTAATGAAGAATGCCTTTTTCTGTTAAAATGAAAAATAAAAATGTTTTCCCTCTTTTCTAGTCTGACTGTATATAGGGTGTTTTATTTTATTCGGAAAACCCGAAGGAAAACCAGTCCTTTTAGATTTACATTTTTTAAATTTAAAACATAGAGCTGATGAACTGAAAATAATTCTTAAACTACTCGATTTTTAAAATACTATTATTTTAAGAATCCCCTGCCATTTTTTAAAAAATTGAAAAAATGTGCCAATGATTTTTTGGTTTTAATGTTAATATGTAAAATTGTATTTGTAACAAGAAAATGATATACCGAATGTCTACTGTTAGAGTGAATAGAACGGAAAACTTTTTTATTTTACATTTTACGGAAAAAGCGCACCTAATAAAAAATGCTTATATTTAATATGCCATGGCCAAAGTTAACATTTTATGTATAGGGTGTCCAGATTATTCAAAAATATTATGATGTCATAAGAGTAAGCTATGTTTATTTTTACTCTTTCGAAAAAGTGTCAGTAGGAAAAGTTGTTCGAAATTAGAAGTTCTGAAAGAATTGAATTGACCCAGTTTGATTTTTTACAAAAATTTATATCCACGGTTAGAATCCCTATTTTTATTTATGATTTTTCGAGTTTTAAGTATGAAGCAAGATATGATAGAATTCCAAGTTATGGAAAAATTGGTAGATACATTTTTATCATTAAAAGATGTGTCGACGGATATAATTAATACGAGAAAAAACTCGTTTTCTCCGTATGAGAAAGAATTGTTTTTAATTTTCGACAGTTACCAATGGCAACCTTCAGATTTTTCGAAATTTTTTTTCCTCCTGCCAAGCTAGGCAAACAAAATTAATAAGTGGACATTTTTTTTGACAGCTATCATATGGTTCAAAAATCAGTAGATACCTATCCAGAATTTTGCTTTGTAATGTTTTTATTTATTTTAAAATAATAAATAGATACAAATAATTATTTACCAAATATTTGTTCCGAGATTTCTTCTATTAACGCTAAATGTGTTTGAAATTCTGGCTCGAACTCTTCTCTTCGCAACGGTGAGTAACGAGGAGCATAATTATTACCTTTATTTTTCATTTCCATCAGATGTCTGTGTTTCATAAAATATATGTAATAATTTAATGAAATTTTGTTCTGCCGAGCCCTGATTTTACGTAAAAAAGATGGGATATCTTCCCTTCATGCGGACTGATTCCAGTTTTTTTTCACTAAATATGGCAAATACTTTAAATAATGCAAATACTATTTTGGTGCTAGAATTACATATACTATAAAGTTTTAAATTAGTTTTTTGGTTGTTCACTGCCATGATTTAATTGTAAACAATTAGAAGCTAGAGAAAATGACTGTCAACGTGACGTATAGCGAAGACGATTTTGACATCACAAGCCTAAGCCTACTTGATTGCAGTTATAATTTTTTAAGAATCATTGATGTATTGCCATAGACATCGGTTTTCCACAAAAACTTACTTTCCTTCTATTTTTAGTAATACTAAGTGAATGTAATGTGCTGTTTTTTATGTTTAATAAGGATCATTAATAAACTGTTATAGACATCGTATTTCTACAAAAATTTCTATTTTAGTAATACTAAGTGAATTGTGTTGCAAAGATAAATATTTGAATTTAAAAATTAAATGCCTTTTTTATTACAAAAGTGCAAGGAATGTGTTTTTTATGTTTTAATAACAATCATTGATAAACTGCCATAGACATCACTTTTCTACAAAAACTTACTTTCCTTCTATTTTAGTAATACTAAGTGAATTGTATTGCAAAGGTAGATAAATATCTGAATTCAAAAATTAAATGTCTCATTTATTACTAAAGTGAAGAGAATGTGTTGTTTTGATGTTTTCGTAATTTTCATTTCCAAAACGAGCCTTTTTTGAATTAAAAAAAAACGCGTGAAATGCGATTAAATTATGTGATGTTGAAGAAGAAAAAAATATGTCATGCACCACAAAACAATGTCTACCTGTCAAGCCAACTTTATTTTGGCGAAATAAGTTTCAAAATGAAACATGTCAAATTTTTAAAATAAATTTTGGTTGTAAAATATTTTTTATTTAAACGTGGACTTCATTTGACAACAGCAACTGAAGTAATTTTTTGCAAAGTATAACTTTTTCAGAAGAGTAAAAACAAATGTATGTAGTTTACTCTTATGACATTTTCAAATGTTTTAATTTTCTGGATAACTCGTATATGAAATGTTAACTTTCCTCACAGCAATCAAGCAATCTAATTTTAAATACAAGCATAAGTTTTTTTCCCTTAAAATGTAAGTTTTTCCTTTTTATTCACTCGTGAATCGGAAAGGAATCGATAAAATCATTACTGTTATAGCGATATTTCGGTGCTGTCAACAAGAAAAAAAAATTGTGAAAACAGTTTTCTTCCTGAAATCCGACCTTGTCCATTTGTTTATTATTTCACACCTCTCACATAGTTTTTAGTGGAATACGTCCATAAAAATGT